CTTAATATAATAAAGATGAATTTAAGATATTTCCCCTAACAAGCAGGTTCCTGAGCTAACAGAGATTCCTCGTTGTGTATTTTCGTTATCCATGGATTCTAGACGTAAATTTCATCCTTGTGGTCACCTGTTCCCTCATAGGTGAGGTCGAATGGTTGCATGTGGAAAGGTCAGGACGACAGTGGATGACGTCTGAGGTCTCTTTCTAGGCCACAAGGCTGGCCAGTCCAGCATCCTGTTAGCCCAGATCTCTCATCTGCACCGGGTCCTCTCCTGGTCTAATCAGCGGGGCTAATCTTGGTGATCTGTGCAACAAGTGCTTAACTTGTGGGAAAAGAGCACATGGCTGCCTGAGCGCAGTGTTGGCACAGAGCTTCTCCCTGCACCCGGTGAAATGTCCGGAGTCACCACACCCACGAAATAAGTGAAAGGGGACAAAAGTCAGAGCCTCCAAGTGTCGCTGAGGTGCTGCTGAGGGTCCTGTGTCAGGTTTCCTGGTGCACTTCCAGTTCTGGCCAGAGCTACCCTCACTGTGCTGCTAAAGTGTTCTCACGTCAACCCGAGTTCACTGGGCGACTGAGGGCCTCAGTAACCCTGAGCCGCTTGGCGCTGCTCCCCACCCCCTCCACAGCACGGTACTAGTGGCTGCATTTATCGTTCTTCCATCTTTTCACATAATCCGCACAACAGTCTCATCAACATGGTACCTCCAGAGGCGACACCCCAACTTCAGAGGATGTCCAGGCTCTAGATCTGAAGGAACCAGGAATCTGACATTTTCCTTACTTGTTGCACTTCAGGCTTTCCAGGAGTTAATTCTTAGCCTTCTGTAGAAATGGTTTTCTCCTGAGACTACCAGAGTGCCCATACCTTAGGTCATTGCATCACCTTGTGGTCATGACAGGAAGTGCAGCCTTCTCAGAGCCCCACTCTACCTGAAACCAGAGGGAAGTCTGCTAGGAGGCACCCTCAGGAAGCTGGCCTCTAGGGCCTGCGCTCCTCTCTGCTCGCAGTCTCCTCTGCACTCTCAGTGTTTCCCTCCCACCTAGCACAGAGTGTTGGTCCAGGGACAGCTGACTATGCTGCCCACATGCCACCCTCCTCTGTGGGCAACGAGGGATCAGTAGATCCTCCAGCTCATTCTGCCTCAAGAGCATCGTCTTTATTATTTCTGCCAAGCTCACTGTCCTTATGCCAGAATACAAGCAACATAACACTGGGCAATACACACAACTCAAAATGAGCTGCTCCTGCAAACTGGGAATAAGGTTGTATCAGAGATTTGGGGGATGATTAAATGAAATGCTGCATTTAACTCTGACTAAACATGTAAACACAGGGGTTATCAGAAAATACTTCTCAGTAAGAGACAACACTTTTCTTGCCTATGCAATGCAACTCACACTTTGAACTTCTTTACATAAATGGATCCAAAATAGTTATCAGTGAGCACCTGCAGGAGGTCAGAAAGATCACGAGTGCAGGGAAAACTTTCCCTGCTGGGTTTGTAGTTCACACAAGGTCTATTAAAACAGTTCCATGTTCCATCACATGGGGCCATATTTAGCAACTTCACAACTGTTCTTCCAGGTACGACAGGCACACGACCAACTTTACGACTCAGCAGGTGAAGGGAGACAAAAATGGCTTTCTTAGGTTCTCAGAGCACTGTCTAAGGCTGGAATGCGGCTAGTTTGACTTTGGATCACAGCACTTAGATTTACCATGCAGCACAGGGAGCAGGTGCTTCCAAACTTTTGTAATGATAAGCTATAGTATGAAATGCCCCCCACAGCATCTGCTCACACGTAAGTAAGTACACAGCGGAAATGAAAACCGGAGAAGACAATGCTGACCTTACATCCAGCACATTCTCTCCAGTCCTGTTGGGTAAAGAGTGTGTGTGTTCATCTCTCATTAGATTGACTCACAGCCTACTCGTGAGTCAAAACTCCCATGCTGGAAGGATCTTGTCTAGAAATTTCTCAAACAACCTCACTAGATATGTGACCACTGCAAAGACCAAGAGTTCAAATGCATACTAAGAATCTAAAAGAATAGACAGAAAAATAAGATGAACTCCACCAATAAGAACAATGTGCTCAGGCAAATGAATTACTCTTCAGTTCAGTAACTCTGGCACTTGGTAGTCCGCACCAAGGACTACAGATGTCTGGACCCTCAGGCAGACAGGTGACTGAAGCACAGAGCCGACTCTTCATCTTCACCGCACTTTCTGGCTGTGCACAGGTATGCTACGGAACATTCCTTTTCCCACTGTCCCAGAGGTATTGCTGAGCTTGGCTATCAATGCACACATCTGGAGTTCTTGTAATGATTCTGCATGAGAGGGATCTTGGCAGCAGGTGAGTCCAAACCACAGCAGGGGAGAACCCATGCAGACAGAGCTTAAGTCAGTCAGTTTAATGAGATAAAGGGACTGAAGGGAAAGGAGAAGGAGGGGCGGGAGAAAGGGAGAGAAGGAGGAGGAGGAGGAGGACGAGGACGAGGAGGACGAGGAGGAGGAGGAGGCGGCAGTTTCGTCTTTTAACTGGGACAGGGTACTGTCTACCATACGCACAAAACTGAGGCACTCTGCCAGGTTTCCATGGAACAGGGCCAAGGTGCACCTTGAGGGAGCCCACTCCTTGGATGCATGTGCAAATGCTGATCTATATTTTAAGGTCACCACTTGGTTGATGACAGAATAGTCCTTTTTTGCAGAAACCATTCTGCCTAGCCATTTGGTCCAGAAAGAAAGGGTATGACTGTGACAGAAAAAGTGGCATTGCATGAAGTTAAATTAATTCTGTAGAGACCTTTTGAGACACGGTTCGAAATGTAAAAGACCCGAATGACAGCGCTTGCATCCTGCAACAACATCTGAACTGCTTCTGTCTCTCAAACTAGTCTAGCCTTTTTGTGCATAAACCTCTGCCCACCCAGCTCTCAGCCTCTGAATAAAGCAGCTGTTCCCTGCCTCCAGGGTGTTCAGCATTTTGCCTGGTGGTGCTCAATGAATACCAGCTCACCCAGTAAACAAAAAGATGGATAGTAGGTGTCCTGTTTTCTTGCTATTTTTTACTACTCGAAATAATTTTGAGGCCAAAGCAGTAAAACATTAGTGACTATCAGTTCCCTCATCTCTAGGGAAGGCTGAGCCTGGAGGAAGAAAACACCAAGAGAATAAACAGTTCTAAGGACCGGTTAGTCTACCACCTAGCATTCTGTGAAGGAAGCCTGTGCCCTTCAAATGAATGTGCATGGGTGTGTGCATGCCACAGTGGAGGTCAGTGGACAAGCTGGTGTCAGTCCCTGCCTCCCATCATGTTTAGACACCAGGGTCTCTTGTTTACCGCAGAGACTCTGTCTACAGCAGAGCAGCTGGCCTGTGAGAGTCTGGCGAATCTCCCCACTTGCTGTCGACCACGGGGATTATGAATTAGTTCTGCAGATCTGAACTCCGGTCCACACGTTTGCACAACAGCACTTTGCCCACTCTGTGATGAGGCTTCCTCCTCTTTTCCTTCGTTGACTCAGCTGTTTGCTAATTTGCTGAAGTGTGTAGACCTGAGTCAGACCGACGCAGTCTCACCAGAAGGCGAGAACAAAACTTTTGGTTCCACACCACACTATAAACGTATCTGTAAAAGATGGTCATTAATGCACTACAAAAGCACAGGAGCCCCTGTTCTATGAGCTTCTGTCACACACTGTCCACACCGATGTCAGGACTGCTCGCCCAGATACCCTGGGAATGGCAGGCTAAACAAGAGTTCAGCTCCAGACAGCTGTCAATCATGTTGGCTGCTGTCCATGGCTCCAAGCTCTAACTCTCCTTGAGTCATCAAGTGAGTCCCAGGGTCTCGAGGAGCCCTTACATAGACCTGGCTTTTCAGGACACTTTCTCCAGGAAGGACTCTCTTCTCTGAGTCACGGTGGCCCTATTCCTTGGGGCACACCCAAAGAGAACTATTGTACTTCCACCCCTACACGTTCCGAGTGATGCTGAGGGAGGCAGCAAGGGTGCTGGACCAAGGCCTCCTCTTTGTTTTCCTCTCTGAATGCGTTAAGGGAAGGACAGAGTTGCAATGGTCCTCAAGGCCTCACTTTGTTTTGTTTATGAATCATCATTAAGAATGATAATACCCGTGTAAAATTTTAAAACCAGCATACAGAGTCACATAATTTTCAAACAATGCTGTAATGTTCTCTAGGTTTAGAAGCAGTGTTGCTGCAGCCTCCGAACTAAAAATGCTTCTATACACAGAGGGTGAGGGTCATGGAGAAGGCTCAGAACCTACATGGCAGAAGGGAAGAACCAACTCCCTCCAGCTGTGTCTAACTTCTACACGCACACTCAAATACACACAACATGAACAAATATGTGTTAAAAAATCCAAACCCTGAAATTGGTGCTAATCCAAGATTACTAAAGAGAATTTAGAGACTATGGGTTTGGATGGCGGCTCTGGTGAACTCTGCAGGCAATTATTAAATTATTAAATACATCCCAGGACCTCTATATAGTCTATAAAGTACTGCCGGGAGGAACAAATGGATTATAGTCAGTTAACTACTGAGCCCAATACTTAGCACTTCTTTACATATTTGTTTAGTAAACGCATACACATTCATATGTTAACTTTTACGTATCTAGTTGTGTAAAAATGAACAAACCCTTTTGGACTGACTGAAGTAGAAGAGAAAAAAAATACTGATTATCTTTTAAGTGCATTTAGGGACAGGAGGTCTTAGTCCAATATTTCAGCTTCAAACACAGCAATGCACACAGAGGATGGAACATGCACACCGACAGGGCACGGCCGTGGATATTCTAGTCATTTTTGTCTTGAGACAGGGAAAATGGCTATGTCAAAGACAACTAAAGCAGAACATGGCGTGTGTGCTCAGTCTCAGGAGTGACTAAGCACCAGTACCTTGGGTGCTGAGTGACTAAGCACCAGTCCCCTGGGCACAGAACATGGCGCGTAACCCACCTTTCTCTTCCTGGGAATGGGCTCGTCGAAGAGCAGGTTGCTGGCCTCGGCCTCATCAATGCCATCGTCAGGTGGCGCGGGGCTACGGAAGGGCTTGAAGCTGTCAGCGGACAATGGCGGCGAGGGCGTGGACGGGTTGGACTGGTCGCTGGGAGCACTCCAGCTCCAATAGCCGCTGCTGCTGCTGCTGGAGGGTGCGCCCTCCTTCCAGGACCCGCTGAGGCCCTCTGTGAGCACAGGGGACAGCGAGTAAGGGCCCATGCTGCATGCAGTAACCCACAGAGGCTGTAAGCAGTGAGCTCTCACTTATCCCAATCACGTGACAGTTTCTAAGCAGTTGTTTTAGCAACGATGCAACATGGCTGTCTGGCTCGCTGGTATGTGTGTTTTAATGTGCAGTACCCTTTCCTCGGGATTGGTGGAGATTAAACAAAAACAAGAAAATAATAGTTATTTCTTGTTCTTGTGGGGCCTCTGGGTTTGCTAGCTGCAAGGCTTCTGCATGTGGTATCCTACGTACTAGCCACCAAGTTGCCCCCTCTGGTTCCAATTCCCCCTTTTTTAAAAAAAGACATTACTCATTGACTATGGTTCTTGGGATGTATGTCTAAGAAATCAGATTAAGACTTCAGACTATCGGAAATGGCGCTTTCCAGACAAGTGCTGAGCAAACAAGTAACGGTGTCTTTCACTCTGACTGCTGTTAGGCCCTTAACCTTAATTTTCAACGTTAGTGTGTAAAATAGTGGCCTTTATAATGGCATTTCCACACACCTGCGTCCTACACCTCATTCCACGCTCCCCCTTCCCTCTGGGCCGTCTTACTAGTCCCTTCCTTCACACCTATTTGCTCCCCAACTTCTGCGTTCACACTGTATATCCCTATTCCCTCTACTTAATGGAGCTCACCTGCAGTTTCAAGCAGTTATGCCTATCACTCAGAGCAGAGCATCCCCACTTGACAGTGGCACAGAAAGTTCATCTACCTGCTGCTCTCTAACTGGTAAGTGACCCTGGGCGGCCGAGGCCAGGGCCTGGTTTGCTGGAGGCCCTTGGTCCTCCAGAGCATCCTCCATCTGCATTTATTGGCAGCCCCACTGACTGAACTGTGCTCAGTTGAACTGTAGGAGTCTGATGCACAGATCTCTTCCTATGCGGCAGAGGAGGGGACCTGTAACCACTGTAGATTAACGTTATCTTTCAAGATGTCCAAGCTTGATTAGCACTTATGTAAATTCTACTTTCTTTCTAGATAATTCTCTTCCATATTTATGTTCATTGTGAATATATTCAAACTCTACTTGTGAGGGAAGAGGAAATCCCAAAATGCTTCATTAAAATCCTATTAATGTCTGTGTAATTACTAATGAAGCAAAAATGAGTAGATTAGCATTTGTAGAGAAATCCCTATCCTTACCTAGTTACAGAATTCCAGAAGTTACTCAGCTACATCAAGCAAAAAGTTTAGTAAAAGTCATTAAGTTTGAATCGAAGTAGAAGTTGCCCACTTTATGAGGGTAAGACTCTGGCAGAATTACATGGTCTTTTTTGCACGCTTGCATCTGCTGGCATCACAACGCCAGCTTGGTATTTCCTCCCTGATGGAGAGAGACGGATGCACACAGCAGACTGCACTACTCTCCAATGACAAGACAGCCTACACAGCGGTCCTGCAGCCAGCATCCTCACATCCTCCACAGAGGCTTGCACAACAAAACCAGGTGCTGGGTATGTGGTCGCAGGACGAGGAGGAAGGAATTGCTTTTGAGAACTAGCTATTGTCACGGTGGTATGTTACTTCACTTCACGTGAACGTCAGCGGTGTATTTGCCTACCAGTCTGGGAATACTTCCTTCGCTCCTTAGCCAGGAAGACTAGCTAACACAGTTTCCTAGGCTGCAGATTTCCTTATCTTAAGCGAGAATTAGTCAAACATGCAGATGGGCCCAGTTGGGCTCTTAGCTCTTCGCAGAGCTACCACTTAACAGGAAAACTCTCCTTAGTCACAGAAAAGAATCACAACAGGTACCCCAAATTCACTGATAGACCTGAATTCTGGAGAATGGCTTTCATCCTCTTAAAAACTAATGGATTTACTATTATAAATTGCTTTCCTTACTTAAAAATTTGCTTCCTTTTGCAAATCAAATGAGAAACATCAAATTCAGTAGCTGAATAGTTTTTTTTTTTAAAAAAATATTTTATATATTTTGAGGCAAGGTCTCTCTATGTGGGCCAGGCTGGCATCATTACTTCACAGAGATCCATCTGCTTTTGCCTTTTCAGTGCTGAGATTAAAGGCATTTGCCATCACGCCTAGCTATGTTGTTATTTTTTAAAAGCCATAAACGAACACTGACACACTCTATTGCTGTGCTAAGGAAGTGCATATTGATGTATGAAAAGGTTTATTTTAATTTTAACCTTTAAATACAAAGGAACAGTAGAAATGTTCTAGAAAAAAAGAATCATATAATAAAAATAATGATTAATTTAAGAATATCCTTTTCCCTGTAAGAATTCAAAGTCATTCCTAGAATATTTGGGGTCACCCCAGTATTCCTCCTCCAGCAATGCTGCTTGGCTGAGAAAGGCAACTCTGGGTGTTCATTTGCCAAGAGGCCCCCAAAAGGTCAGACCACTAACCAGGAATGGTTACGGCACCTCAGTGCATGTGCCTCTGCAGTGTCTAAGTTCATCTACGTATACGTACACATATACAAACATGTATGCAGCCTGACTTCCTAACCCTAATTTCCACTGTCTGGATGGATCACTTTAGCAGCCTGCTCAAGGCTCAGAAGACAGACTTCCGGCCAGGCATATAGGACCTGTCTCAATGAAGCTGCTATTGTCCTCTGCCCAACTTTGCCTCCCGCTGTCTGCTTTCCCAGTTTATCTCAGATATTAAATGAAGCAGTTTCACCCCACGATTAGGAAGGCAGATCTGGAATCAGGAAGACGGGAACTCCACACATACCTTGGTTTACCTATCTGTAAAGCAGTGATAGTAACAGCATCTCATATGCTTGCTGGTGGAAACACAACGAGACAAAGCAAGCAGAATACTCTGCAGATAATTAAGTCAGTGCTTAATTAGTATGCTATTAATGAGGCCATGACTGAGTCTTCTTTTCCTAAAGAGACTGTGTACTCTCTCTGAGCATGGACACTCTTTATACTCTATTGATACATTCAAATCATCTAGGTCGTACCTAGTAGATACTGAATTCGAGACTGGACTAAATAATTCTCTTTGGTTATGAAGTGTGGGATAATGCTTTTACAAACTGCTGGATCTTCAGTGAGTGCACTGATCCAACTATCTCCCAATCAGAAAGAAATTATGTGAGGAAAACAAGTTCATTAGACAACTCTCCTTTTGCCTGGGGAAAAAGAACATAACTACTGCACAGATGTGTCCTTGGAAGGCAGCAAACACGTGACAGAACTCAGAAAATGTGAGCTGCCCAGGTGAGGACCTGAGAATGCTAGGGTCTTAGGAGGATGAGGTCGGTGGTCCAGGGTCTCCATTTCCCCTGATTTGAAATAAGGTCCCCAAGAGAGGCCTTGCTCTTTCCCAGAGCACATACCCTAGGCTTACCATTGGGCCGCACTGGAGGACTTCGGACCAAAGGGCTAGTTGACAAGCTGGTTAGTACCATGGCTGCGGTCACCTTGTCCATGTCCAGTTCCTCTGAAGACTTTCTGTAAAATAGGAAGAAGTGCTGTCTGTGTGTGCTCACTCTACCCACGGTCAACCACAGTTACTTTTGAACGCATCCTTGGGGAAATCCAGCGTTCCGCTAGTGGATTTCTAAGAGGTCAAGCGGTCCAACCAAAGCCAAATACACAGGAAGAAGGGGCCCTTCTTCATCATTTGTCCAGCAACTATTTATTGATGTGCAGATGAGCCAGGCAGACGCTGCTGCGGGCACCAATACAATCATTTGTCTGTATGAAAAACCAACAGGAATAAAAGAATCTCTGACAGTGGCAAGCGCTATGAAGGGTACTAGTGTCGACATAACAGTGCCTGAGCATCTGAGGAATGACTTCTGGGTGATGGGAGCTGAGGAGGCTCAGTTCTGGGAGTGGAGAGACATGTATCTCTACAGCAGCCTGAGGTACACCAGACAAGTTCTCCAAGGAGAGAGTGCCCACGGAATGTTCGCCTTTGAGCCCATGACATCATACGGTTAGTATCTGTGAAACAACAGCTGAGCTGGCATCATGCAGAGCAGAGGTCAGGAAGCACAGATGAAAGAAACGGTGCCTGAGGCAGTGGCTGCTGACTCTGTGGGACTGGTGGGGAGAGACCAGAACGGCACTGTCTGGATCGGATGTTCCCTAGAGCCTCCACTGAGATGACAGCAACTAGGCGAGAAAAACATCCAAGGTGTTTAAACCCAAGAGTCCCCCCCATCTTCTCTGTGTGCGTGATGTGGAGTCTCCAGGCTGAGGCTGGGATCTTCCTGCACTGCTCTCTTTTTCCCATTGAGGCGGCAGTGCTAGCCAGTGCTTGGGAGCTTCCCACCTACACCTTCTGGGGCCAGAATCACGGGTGAGCACCTGGCATTCGGTTGGATTTCTGAGCATCTGAACTCCACTGTTTTCACCACTGAGCAGCCTCCTCAGCCTTCAATCTTTGTTTCTCATTCTATTCTCTGTCCTCCTCAAGGAAGAACAGGGCATGGGAACAGCTATGGCAATCACTGAGGCAGACAAAAAGGCTGCTCTGATTTAATTCTGGCCAGCTAAGCACGGATCTGCAAGGCAGCCATCATGGTGGTTAGAGTCAGCCTCTGTGAGCTTGTTTCCACGGAGAAGCTACAACCGAGAGGCAAGCATGTACGTAGTGCATGGACACAAAGTAAAGGATCCCACCTCCTGGGAGACCGGCATTTCCAGTTAGGGAGCAGTCAAGAGGCCCAGCAGACGACTACTGAGCACACTTGCAGGCGGACTGTCACTCTGACAGATGCGGCTTCACTGCTTAACAGTGGATGGAAAAGAAATTCTTCCACTGAGAAAAGCCAAATAGTTCTTTACTGGGGTGTGTGTGTGTGTGTGTGTGTGTGTGTGTGTGTGAGAGAGAGAGAGAGAGAGAGAGAGAGAGAGAGAGAGAGAGCGCGAGCAGAGGGAACTGCCTGAGATGGTGATCTCATCATCTTGATGGCATTTAGAATCACCATAGCAACAAACCCCTGGGCCTGTCTGTGCAGAACTTACTAGATTGGGTGACCTGCGGTAGAAGACCTGCCTTAGTTATAGGCTGCGGCATTCTATGGCTTGGAGGCTATACTCAATCAAAGGGAGAATGCTAGCTTAGCATAGCCATTTATCACATTTATCACTGTCTGCTTCTGACTTCAGAAACAAGATGGACTGCCCTCGGCTTCCCGGCAGTGATGGGCGGTTCTCTCAAACTGTGAGCCAAAACAAGCCTTGCCTTAGGTTGCTTCTGTCAGGCATTTTGCCATAGCAACAAGACAGGCACATAATACATTGCTCAATTAATTTCACCATGAAGTTACCAAAAACCAGTTTGACTTTCTGATACCCAAGCCAGTACTAAATTATTACAAGTTTATTGTTTCAATCCAAGGCACTGGAGGATGGCAACCTTTCACATTTTCCCATGTAATTCTTTTCAAAATCTCTATGTGCTCACACCCCAGCCTGTGCGATCAAAAGGTGAGTTATTTGTTTCGGTGACTGGCAAGTAGAAACACCTGTATAAGCAAGCGGGAGGAGGGTAATGAAACTGCTCCCGTGAACGCTGGCGAGACAAAGGCCTATCCTGGGAAGCAGGAATCTCTGTGCACACACTCAGCCGCCAGCTCCGATGGAAGGCCATGGAGATCTCAAGCTCGCTCCAGGTGGGAAGCTTTCTCCATGCTGGCTGGTCTTCGGACACTCATGCTACACTACTGACCCTACACTACTGGGCAGGGTGTACCCAGAAGTACGTACTGGAACGTCTCAGGGGACAACCAACGCTTCCTGTGGGTACTGGATCCTCCCTGCAGGAAGGCACTGACAGCTGGTGCTGTGAACCTGGCTAAAAGCCTGTGGCGGGGTGGGCAAGTGGCAGCTGCTGCTTCTGAGTGACCGCTGATGTCCACAGCTGAGTGCGCCTGTAGCTTTGCTCAGAACAGCCTTTCTGGGTGGACAGCAGGAAGCGCAGAGACCTAACCCGAGCAGGGCTGGAGATAACTGACTGTTGAATGCCCAGTCATGAACGGGACATCTCTGTCACTCCCTCCCAGGCTCAGTGGAATGCTGAAGTCAAAGGCCCCTGTGAGTACCGCATTAGACCTGCCTAAAAGATGGAAGGGGCGGGTCTAACGAGGTCCACCCCTCCCTAAGGATGGTTGCTAGAGGAAGCAGAGACTTTTCTTCCCACTGTTAAGCCACTTGGTGAGGTATACAGTCCTGTAAATAACCTATCACACCCCTAGACACCCTCAACGATTGGCTCACCTAAACAAACACACAAGTCAAATGGAAATTTAGGAAAGGACAAAAAAAAAAGATATTAAAGTAGAAAAAAGAAGAAGGGATAAGGATAGGGAGGTAAAGAAGGTAATACATATAAGCATGATCAACATACATTATATAATGTATGAAATGCCACAATGAAACTGTTTCCATACAACTAATAAATGCTAATAAAACATTAATAAACAAAAACCAAAAAGCTGGCTTATGTGATTTTAAAATGAGAAACAGTAACAAACACATCAGTGTACATTTAATAATAAGCTGTACATTTATTTTATATTGCCAAAACTACTAGTACATTTCAAAGTAATTACTGACTGTCATAAAACAGATTTCCAAAGACGAGTAAGAAAAGAATACAAATTAGTGTAAGCAAATATTTTTAATGTTTGTTTAGTTTTTGCTTTTTTTTCTTGGTGAGCAGCGTTTCACTATGTTCTCCTTGTCTGCTTGAAACTTACTGTGTGGACGGGCTAGCCTTGACTGCTGCAGCAATCCTCCTGCCTCTGCTGGCGCCCCCAGCTAACCAGAGTGTTCACTTATCTGGATTACCTTTAGGTTTTCCATCAGTCCTGGAGGTCACTGCCACCAACAAAACCAAAGGAAGGTATGGCTTGTGATCACTTCATCCAGATCTCTTAAGAATTTGGATCAAGTTATCAGACTACAGCCTCGTGCTGAGTGGTGCTTTTGTTTTTATCTTTGTTAATTTCTTTTGGTACAGTACTATCTAATTACTGATTAATTAGTGCTGCAGACTCGAATCCTTATAATTAACACAAAGAGATGATACATGAAGTTGACTCTGCTCCACTGGAGGAAACCGCTGTTAGGCCTGCTGGTAGATTCGGAGTGGCTGAGGGGTGCCAGGAGCCATAATGGATGTTCTCCCTTAATGTGAAACTGAATTTACTATTGCAAACCACACCAATCCCTCATTTACTAAAGGCAGAGACCTAACTAAAAATGAATCTCTCTGCCACACTTGAGTTTTATGGAAGTGAGTGATACTTAGAATTATGGTTAAGGGGACAGGAATTTTCACTGTCATTTTATGTGCTATCCAGACCTGGTGAACAGGACAAGTCATCAGACGACTTTGAGTTGCTGTCTCTCCACCTGCAGGGCCCTGGGTAAATCCTTAAGCTGAGTCTCTAAATGGTTTCTTCATCCACACAAGGCCTCGGAGAGGACAAATGAGAAAGCAGACATGAGCACCAGCGTGAGTCTCAGTGTTCCTGCCCAAGTCCAAGCTCCCCAGCGGGTACTGACATTCACATCCGTGAATATATCCATGGCGTGTCCCCAGAAAGGCATTCTCTGGCTCCTTACTCAAACCCAACAACAGAAGTTGTCTTCTTTCTCCTGCCCTTCCCCTTCTATGTTCCCCTTAGTGGGTGTGTGCACATGCGCATATGTGCGCACGCATGCTAACGCACGACGTATTTCATGAATGGCAAAACTTCTCCCAGCTCCTCTGTAAGAGGCTTGTGGAGACGCAGCTGTGGGCTCCTGGCTAGGACAAGTTGGTGCTGTGACAAAGACAGACAGCCATGTGTAGCAAGCCCGGGCAGACTCTGCAGAAAGAGTCCATGCTATTGATACTCTAGGAGTGCTGTGTGCTGGAGGCTGCACCAGATGAGAGTTTACTGTCTCCAGGAAAAACAGCCGCCCGCCCTCTGAGTTCTAGTGGAGAACCAGACTTTAAAATGCCTCCCTCCTCTTCCCTTTCTCCCCACTGCCCCTACTTTCTGGCAATAATACACACCAGGAGGAAGATCATGTGAGAGACTGCCCAGGTGAGTGGAAGAAGGATGCTGAGGTCGAAGCCAGCCTGGGTGCTACAGTCTCAGGAAGGACGGGTTTCTGGGTGGTGGGTGAGGACAAGGTTGCTGAGGGGGACAGACTGAGACTGTGCAGCCTGGAATGCAGAGCCTTCTGGGAGGGATATCGTCCTATTTTCAAGACTCTAAGAGGCACCAGAGTCATAATGGATGTAGTGGGGACAGGCTGGGAAAGGTTCATGAGCCGTCGGATTTGTCTTTCAGAGAGCTCCCTCTGGCTGCCTGTGAAAAACAACGTCCTGGGTTTAACACCAGGTCTGTGCAACAGGCTGCTGGATGACGTCATCTGTGATTAGGGAAGTGTGGGCTGTCTCATTGAGCTCAGGCCTCAAGTCCCAGGATCTCACAGCTGGGCAC